GTTGTTGTTGTTGTTATGTGCCATCGAGTCACCTGCAACTTATAGCGACCCTATGTACAACAGCCCTAAACCCTGCTCTATCCTGTGCCAATCTCACTGCCTCCAACACACGCACCCCAATTACCTGTCATTGAATCAATCCATCTCATAGAGGGTCTTCCTCTCCTGCGCTGTCCCTCCACCCTCCCAAGCATGACGTCTTTCTCCAAGGTATAGAAATCACTTGCTTTTGTTATGTGCCATCGAGCTGCTTGCAACTTATAGCGACCCAATGTACAACAGCTCTGAACCCTGTTCTATCCTGTGCCAACGTTATTGTCTCTGACACACTTACCCTCAACACCCCAGTCATAAATAACTAACTAGGGGAGTATAAAATGAGGAAAACAAAACCATAATGAAAGATGTGGCCATTAGATGCCAAAAGGAAATGGACAATGGCCTGGGCCATGCAATCAATCAACTAAGAATAGTTGTGTACTCTTCATCCTAAATGAAGTGTGTGGATTTGAACCCTATCTCGTAAAAGTAGGTATTTGTTGATAAGTCCTTGCAACTCAGATTCAGCATTAAATATTCTACACAAGCAAGGGAACACTCAGTGTTGGCGTCCCTTCCTAGCAGAGGCCACTACCGTTCTGAGTCCTAACTTTAAGAAAACAAGCATGCCTTTTCCATTACTGTGAAACCGTTAGATGGTACAGTCACTGAACAAAATTTGGCAGGTCCTCAAAATGTTAATTAACACATAATCCAGCAACTCCAATGCTAGGTGTATACTCAAAGTAGTAAAAGTAGAAACACATACAAAAACTTGTACAGCAATGTTCATTATAGTACTATTGATAATAACCAAAAAGCCTACCTTTCTTTGAGCAAATGAACAGATTTTTTAAAAAAGTGATATCTACATATACCATGAATATTACTTCAGCATACAGAAAAACAGAGTCTTGATACATGTTATAAGATAAACCTTAAAACATTATGGCGCATGAAATAAGTTGGTCAAAAAGACAAATATTGCATTATCTCACGTACATGAAATATCTAGAATAGGGAAGTACACAGAGATCAACATTTCCTAGTTGTTACCAGGGACCAGCAGGAGGAAAGGGGGACATACTTCTTAGGGGAACACTGAGCTTCTGTAAGGGAGACTGCATAATTTAGAATTGGGAAGAGTAAGGGTTGAACAACTGGATAAACAGAATTAATGCCACCGAACTCTGTAAGCAAAAAGCACTGAAATTTTAAATATTCTGTCACATATTTCTTCACAATTAAAGATAAATAAGTAAAATTGAAGACTAAAGTAAGCATGGCCTGGAGAGGTCTTGCAAGTTGACTGAGGGGCTAGTGCATTGGCAGTACCAAGATCAGACCTGGGAATAAAGACCCAATGCCAGGCTAAGTTTTGCTTCTGCCTTCTCTGGGGTTAATGAAATACCTGGGTTGGCCCTGGTACCAGCACTTCAGAACTACACTAACTCCACCTGGCTGAGATGACCAAATCACCCAGGACCTCCAGTCTTCTCACAGGGCCATCATGGTCTTGTTAAACCCAAACCAGCCCTCCATTTGAGAGACGAGGGCAAAGAGGAGGTTACTTTTACTGGAACTTACTTCTCCTTTACTGCAGTCTCTCTTTTCATTACTGGTTTCCATGTGTGGAAGTCTTCAATAAAGAACCACAGCAAGAATAGGTACAGTGAAGACTTACTAAGTGCTGCCTATGTGCCCAGTCCTATGCTAAGCCCTATATATTTACCACCTTATTTTGGTTTGATATTATTCCTATGATGTAGCTAGTATTACTATTCTCTCTTGATTAGTTACTGTGATTCATGGTAATCCCATGTGTATGAGTAGACTTGAGCTTCATGAGGTTATTTATCAATGGCTGATTTTTCAGGAATACATCACCAGGTCTTTCTTTCTCTATCTCTCTCAAAGGTGTCTCTGGAAAAACCTCTACCACTAACCTTTTGGTTGGTAGTTAACTGCTTTAACCATTTGGACTATATATTCCCAGTATACAGTTACAGACTTAAGTTGAGCATGTGGAATACACAGTTATTATGTGCTGCTGAGTTGCTTGTGATTCATAGCAACCCTATGTGCAACAGCTCTGAATGCTGCTCTATCTAGAACAAATTACATTGTCTCTGACACACCAAACCCAATTACCCCAGTCATTGAGTCAATCCATTTCATGCAGGGTTTTCCTCTCCTGCTCTGTCCCTCCACTCTCCCACACATGGCATCTTCCCCCAAAGACTTTTCCCTCCTGGCAACATGCCCAAAGTATGTGAGATGGCACTTCAAAATCTTTGCCTCCAAGGAGCTGCTTGGTTTTACCCTCTCCAGGACACACCTGTTTGGTCTCTTAGCCATCCAAGGTATATTCAACACTCTTCTCCAACACTACAATGCAAAGGCACTGATTCTTCTTCTAACATCCTTAGTCTTATCCAGCTCTCTGAAGCATGGCAAGTAATTTTAAAGGCCATGGACTAAGGTGCACCTTAGTCTCTAGAAAGACATATATATATGTGTGTGTGTGTGTGTGTGTGTGTGTGTGTGTGTGTGTGT